TTTGGCTTCTTTTTCTTTTAAAACAAAGAACAAAATGACAAATCCAAATTTGAGACATCTGCATGTTTCCCCTCGTGTGACTTAAACATCTGCATTTTTTCACTTCTCATCCAGATGTTTTGTTCTTATGTAAACCTAGCTAAAGTGAAGGAGAATATCAAGAAATCATCTGGGGATGCTGATTAACATGGACAGCAAATCTGAATAATCCACGTTCTGAGAGTCCTGTTTTTTGTCTAGCTCAGAACACATTACTAATAAGGTCAAAGTTACTGTAGGTTTTTTTCTTGTATGGGCCAGTTAATTCTGATCTGTTCCATGACCACAAAATGCACCTCTAGCCTCAGCCAGCTGTCTGGAAAGTGAGTGTCCTCAGTCTTACAGGCAGTCATGCAAGAAACTGAGCAGAAAATTTCTACCAGTTGGGAATTAAAATAAAAATGTATTTCCCATGGATGGTAGGTCAGTGGTGCCATTTTGTATAAAAATAATAATTATAATAGTAATTTATATAGTACTTATTTTGTGTCAAACACTATTCTAAGCAATTTATATACTTTAATTCTCAGTGTTCCCAACAACCTTATGTGTATTATTATCCCATTTTACAGGTGAGGAAATAGAGGCACAGAAGGTTAAGTAATTTCTCCATGATGAAAATGAATGGTATTAGCACTTTTTCTGTTTACTTTATCACATACCTTGTGTCAAGGAGGTGGGAGGGGGATCACAATGTATTGGCTGTCTAGAAAGTATATCAAAATAGGACAGAAACTTGAATATTTCTGCACACTGAATTCACCAGTAGAACTGCTACTGTGGCACACCCTGTGCCCAGTAAAGGAGGTTGATCTAATCCCTATTCTTCTATCCAGTATGATAATTATAGGTATAAAAGTACCCTTTGCAAAAAAGAAAGGCATTGTTTTTATTGGCAATAAGTCATTATGTAAAGTATATATTTAAGAAAAAGGACTATGTGGTTAGGAGCAATGGACTACATTGGGTGGCCTCATAGAACTAAATTGTCTGAATGCTCTGAGGAAGAATGATTTGTTTGACTGGCAAAATGCTTAAGAAACTTTGATCTCCAACCACACATTGACTTACAATCCTAAAATTCTAGACTTAGACAGAACATAAAGATACAATCTAATCCATTTTTCTTTCTTTTAAAAAAAATTGGGAACAAAAGTGCTTGCTGAAAGAAGCAAATAAAAAAATATCCCTCATAATTTTAAGGATTCCAGGAATTGAAACTTCACAGATGCTCCCAAATTCATTCGTCTTTTAAATCAAGAAATGTGATGTGAGCACCTCCTCTGTGACCAGCACTGTTATGGGTCCTTGGATTACAGCAAGGAATACAATGTGGCCACTAATCTTCAGAAACTTGTCATATATTCTGGTGTTTTCTGCTTCAGACATAAAGGCTTTCACTCTTATAACTTTACTGCTTATTTTTCTGTTTCATCTTCTGACAGGAAAAGAATTGCTCAATGCCTTACTATTGGGGAATATTTTTATTTGGTCATTAAACTCCATTTCCTTTTCTTCTAGGCAAACAGCTAGACTAAATTTCCTACCCCCCACTCCCTACCTTCCCACCTCTTAGAATATGAGTGGTTTCTATGGGCCATTTTGTGCCCTCCTCCATGCCTCTCCCCATTTTTTACCCATCTACTGATTAAATGAAGATGACTCCTCAGACCTAGAGATCAAAGAAACAAAGTAGAAAAAGCCTATCTCTGACTGACTGTGGAGAAGAGCCTTTCCGCATAACCCCAGTGATGTGAGCAAGCAGTACATTTTTGTGTTAAGCTGCAGGATTTAGGCTACTATCCTTAACAACAGTTATCTACTCTTACTAATACAGTGTCCCTTTCAAAGTTTCTTTCATAATTTTAAAGATGGTCATCACTCTGCCTTCAATTTTGCTGAAAATTTGGTTCCTTGTGTTCAAATCTTATGTGCTTGGTTATCAATTCTTTATTGTTCTTCACAGATGTGCTCTCTATGCCTCCTTCCACCATGCCAGTACACTGTAACATATCCTTTTTTGTTCTTTTGACAAACACCTGTGATATCTGCCTCCTGAATTTCCCAATAATTGAATAACTTCAATGCTTTTATTTTAAGAAAATAATTCTTTACTCCAAAATAAGATGAGTGATTTAAATAGAATTGGAAGATGAGACCTAAAGGATCAAATGTCATCAATTACTAATTTGAGAATCTGAGATTTTATTCAGTGGATGGAGTGAACGTAATTATTTGTTTCAGAGATGATTTGCAGAAGCACTTTGCCCTTCCTTACCATTACTCTCCTGAACACACTTCAGGGGTTGTTCCAGTAGCAAATACACCTACCATTGTGCTGTTCCTATTCTTGTCCTTATAGTGTCAGGATGTTTAGTTAAGAAAGTAAGTTAAATACTATAAATAAATTCACTTGAAGCGATTAACTTTCTTGATTGTTGGAATCTTTGCTAACTCTGTTTTTTCTCCATTTTCCACTTTTCATATCAACACATCCCACTTATTCCTCTTTATCCTCAGATTTGCTTTTTTTTCTGAGAGTATCCAGGTCACCACCCTCCATCTCTCATCAACTAATACATGTACTATGCAACAGCTTCCCAAATATTTTCCCTGTCACTATACTCTCCCCCTACATAATTTTTCCTGCATCTGCTATGAGATGAATGTTTCAGCCTTATTTCTTTATTATACTCTCACACAGATTTCTCCCCTTGGTAGCCAAATATGTTTATTTTCAGATAATCAGACTTGCTTAGTTTCCCCTAGTCTTCACATGCACTATTCTCTGCAATTGGAAAATCAGCATATATCACCACTGTTCCTTCAGTTCCAAACTTATCTCTTGCCCAACTTGAGACTGAATCACCCCACCTCACTTATCTACTCTGCATGTATAACAGTTTTCTTATGCTGGAATGTGTTTTGCAAATACTCCTTTCTTCATGCATATGATGTGTAAACTATTTGAAAACAGGGACTTTAATTTAAAAAAAAAATTCTATTATACTTTATGTAGTGGGCATTATACAGTGCTACTCAATAAATATCCATGATTGCCTTTAGTACCATATAGAAAAAACGTGGTTGATCAAATAGCAATGAGCACTTGGGAAGACAAGTTTAGATGGGTATAGGTAATTTTACAAGTTCTGATCTCAAAGTAATTATATAGAGTGCTGAATAATCTTCTTAAATTGCCTATAACTGATTTCATTTCTAAAAAAGGTAAGTTTGAAGCGAAAGCATTTGGAGCAAATTATTATTGTTTATCAAATAGCCCCATACATTCATCAGAGAGCATTAATGTCCAACACTGTGACCTCTTATCAAACATTTTAGAACAAAAGTGCATGAGTAAAAGAGGAATTTGAGCCAGACTCTTTTCAACATTAAATTCTCTCCCAGAAAACAACAGCAAAAATCACAAGTTTTCAAACTTAACTGGTCACTATAGAACTATTTTCTATCTTAACTTCACTCTGGTTTTATCAATTCACTACCACATTTTGGAAAATGAATATAGGAATGTAAAGATTTATAAACACAAATTTCAGGATATTTTCCTTAGTCATTACTTGACTTTTTAGGAAACACCTGGTGGAAGCAAAGCAATTTATTTAAAAGTAAAGTACCAAAGGGCAGTAAATGCTTGAAACTGGTGGTTCCATACTCTTGTAAGGCCTTTAGTCACCAAGTGTGTTGGGGAGTCCCTTTCCTTCTCTTGGCAGAATTTCATTCTTTCTCACACCTGCCATCTTCCACTTGTTACAGAAGTAATTTATAAGATGCTGCTTATTTGCATGTCCTTTTGAAACTTAACTGTTTCTTTCACAACTTAACTGTTTCTCCTCTCATTGTCACCTGGTTCCTGCTTTTAAGCCCCGCAGTGCTATTCACCAATCTTCAAATAAAATATTGTCTTTTTACATGATGCTACCTTGGGTTCAAGCATTACAAGAATCCCTCAAGTGCCTTTGTACCCATTTGTTAAGTTAAAGTAATTGAAAGCCAAACAGATTTGGATATAATTGAATTAAGGCTTAGAGTGAGTGAGGAGAGATATCTTCTTCTATTTAGGAACTACATAGCTACCTTTGAGTCTCAATAGTTAGTTTGGAGCCCACAGATTACCAAGCCTGCCAGATTTCATATTTTGCCAAATTAAAACCATGTACACATTGTCCATGTCCATGAGCATTGTTTTTGTGTTTTTCTCATTTTTCTCATAAATTCAGATATTTTTAGAAAATTTTACCTTAAAATAGCCTAACTTTTAAAGTATGTATACTGTTTGTGGATGAGCTAAATAAATTTGTTATGAATGTATAGGAACTAGTTGCACCAGTATTTTTCTAAAATGCCAAAATCCATTTAATTGAAAAATTGAGAAGAAAAAATTGTTCTCACTGTAAAAGAAACTGGTAGAATATATCATGTTCTAGACTAAATACTTATTGTACCATTATGTGATATATTTTTTAAAAATCTCAGATGAAAATCAAATTTTGAATTGCCATCTAGAAATAAACTTTTATAGATAGTGTACACACCAGTTCCTGAAAATGGTAGAAAAGGTTTCTTGTCAAGTTCACCAGCACAAGTGTGAATGCTCTGTTTTTGAGTACCTAGTAGTCGTGAAAGGACACATTGTGGCCAGCCAACTCAAATTGCTACCCACGTTTAATCATTGTAAATAAAGGAAGCAGAGAGACCCATGTTATATTTTCAGAACTGGCATGCTCAATACAGAACTATTAGTTTAAAAATACCACTCAACATTCTATTTGAATTTATCTAGACTTCTTTGTAAAACAAAATAATAAAAAGTACAATTGGTCACTAAACATATACTACTCATTTCATGCAAGTTATTAACTTAGTAATTACACATATCATTAAAGAACAATGAGAGCAAATACAACTTTATAACACTTGGGAAACAGTTAAGTATTGATAAATTCCTATTTTGAAAAACCTATAGTTTTTACAGAAGCAAAATCACCTTTCTCAGTAGAAAAAAATACATCTATGAAACACCTGTATGTGTTGAATAGGACTTTTCAAAGGAATAACTAATTGTCTCACTGTGAAATGAACATGTATCACTGTTAAGATTTCACATACCTTTGGTGCATAATGTATTTCTTGAACAGCTTGATATAGTAAAGCAACAGAGAAGCAAATACTTTGAACAAAACCCATGGACCACAGGGAGTCAATAATGTAAAGAGGTTGAAAAAAATAATCAAAACATTATCTAATGTTCTTTTATACATTTGAGTTTCACAATTACAATGGCTGGGCAAATTAATTTTTACACACTGTGTACATTTGTCCTTGCTTATATTTTTATAAAACATGATTTAAGAAATATTTGCAAAATGCTAGAATCAACCTTGATTAACAATTGACCCTCATGGGCATCTTGGTGAAGAACACACCAAAATGGATTAATTGGAAAGAATATAAAGTAGTAATCCACAATAAATATGAAAATAGGGGAACATTCCTTACAGCAAATTCATAATATTTTAGATTACTCACAGGGATTTTCTGCTAGAGTACAGTCACAGTCACAACGTGAGGATGGAGAAGATTATCTACAAAATATACTCTTTGAAGCACCAGGAATAGAGATACTTCTACAGAAGCCTTGCACACATGGCCAAGCAGATATTGTGTATGTACAGAATAGTCTCTTTCACAACTACATTTCAGATAAGAATCACTGCAATTGCTGCTCTACCACTAGTAAACTTGAATTATTTAGCACTTCATCTGTGATTATTGTTGTTTTATTTCTTTTGTACTGCTGACATGTGCAGTCAATATTTATTTAAATTCAAACTCCAACGATGCTGGAAAAGTAGGAAGATTCTCACATCTTCTTATAAAGCCTATAGAAGGTTGAGAGATTATTTGGGGAAAATCCAAATGTGAATTTTTTAGCAAACAATGAAATGCACACCTTAAAATGTGTTTTCAAATTTGTAAAACTTTTAAAATAGGCTAGAAAGCCATAAGGATTTTTCAAAATCATTCTAAAAGAACTAACAGCCTGTCTATTCAGTTGCTTAAGAAATGCATGTTGTTTACCTACCTACCAGTTTGCCTACAGAATATGTGCTTGCCTAATAAAACTAAAAGCTATCATTATGAGCTATTGATTTAGTCTACAGAAATTGTCCATTATGTTGAAGAAGTTCTAATTGCTTCCATCACATTTTTCACAAGCAATCTTCCAATTTGGGTGCCTCAACACTTCTTTCTTGATAATTCCTGATTTTTCAGTTACTCTATAGAAGTTCTCCTTTCCCCTTAAAGGTAGTTCAGAATTTTCAAATTCAGTAAAAGTCTTTAAATTTTCCCTGTTTCAAATACCATGTAGATACTGAAATATTCATAAATATGTTGAAGGTAGCTCATCTACTAAGCTTGTAGTTCAAGTGGTTTCAAAAACCTACTCTAAAACAATATGATTAATTTTTTCAGGGAGAAATTAAAATTGTACATTGGGATAGCATACTACACTACAAAATCAGGTCTTTCTTCCCCCAGTATTCTCGAAACATAAACAACAACAAAAATAAAGTACAAAAGCGATTTCTGTGCCTTTTTCTTCAAACACTTTTTCAGCACCTAGATGTTGTTAGGTGTACTTTATGCTTAATATAGCAGAAACTCTCAATGCTCACATGGCTTTTCTGAGTATGTCAGACTTTTCACTACCAAATATCACTGGTGAAACTAAGCTCTTTGGATGATAAATGTAGCAGGGAACTGTTTCTATGAATTTCCTGGGTATCTTTCAGGGAATTATTAAGGGGTAGCTGTCCATTGTGTAGAGTCAGAGGCAGATTACAATAAGTGTGGTGGTTACCTAAGGAAGGTACGGGCAAGGTGGTGGTTGGCATCTCGTGTTTATAACCTCTGCAACAGTGCCTCATTTGCATCGGATCTGAATGGTGGAAATCAGGGAGATCAGCTTGAGATGATACCAGAGAGGCTGAGGTACTGGTCATGGCAATAGAGGGTATAGGTTGGAGTTCTCCAAAAAGTCCTTGTTCTGCAGAGTCCAGAATATGGCACTGAGAAAGCACTTCTTTTTTCTTGATGGGCATTTCATATACTAAGTGCTTCCAAAACTTAGAATTTAATTTACTGCTTTTGGGTCCCTTCCACTTGATCAGTGACAGAAGTTTGATGCTGTGCTTTAGTGATTCCACTTCCTGGCAATTCACCTTCCCTTTTAATTCTGTACACTCAATCAAAATCACTTTTATTTCTCCACTGACTAGCATGTTATGGAGTCTGTTTTCCAACTCGAAAATACTCCATCCTCGTCTGAGAATATAGTCTGGTGTTAGCACGATAATAAGTCTTCTGCTTTGCTCAACACATCTTGTGAGATCTTCAATATATGCTACAAATCACAGAAAGAGAGAAAGAGTAAAACAAAGACATTTCCAGTCTTTAAAGCATTAGGTTTGTACTTTAGAATAGTAAAGATCCAGTCTTTCACTAGTGTACATCATATTTTCTTTTGTTGTATTGCACATTCAGAAAGCCCATTTCCTTAAAAAGAAAAATGAAAAAACCCAAAAAACCACACTTGTTTAGCCCTGGCCAGAGTGGCTCAGTTGGTTGGAGTGTCATCCTATACACCGGAAGGTTGTGGGTTTGACTCCCAATCAGGGCACATACCCAGGTTGCGGGTTCAATCCCTGGTTGGGAAGCCTATGGGAGGCAACTGATCGATGTTTCTTTCTCACATCAATGTTTCTCTCTCTCCCTTCCTCTCTGAATTATAAAAACTGTTTAAAATATTCATTTTCTCGCCCCTCATTACTTACAGTGTTTTGTTGGCGAATATTAAATCTGACTTCGTCAGAGCTTAGGTGTATTTCAGTTATTTTTATTTATTTGATCATTTAATTTAAGACAGGCTTCCAGGCTTGTACTCTAAGTAAACAAGCAATCAATCAGTTGATGAAAAGAGAAATGGAACTTTTTAATGACTGAAGAGTCACTGTATTTATGGATTTAGTTTGCTTTTTCCCCTATTTTTCAGCTGCGAAACAAGTAAGGGGGTCTATGTATATGAACTACTTCAAAGGTATTGTGATAGACATGGTGGAAAATCTCTTGTAGAATCATAGCTTGTTACTCAGAATACTTTCTGTTACTTGCAACCTTAGGTTCTCCATTTCACCCTTAAAACCCAGAGATAAGGAAGTAGTGTGTGTATGTGCCCATAAATTTAATTTGAACCAGCTGCTCTTTTTTCAGAGGAAGAGAGAGTGGTAGAGTTGAAGGTGGGGGGTGGTGTGGAATGAACAATAATGGAGGAAGAGTCTATCAACTGAGAAGAAAGTTTTTGTCCTAGTTTGTGCAGCAATTCTGAGAGTGAGGTAAATATGTTATGGCCTTTCCATGGTAGAAAAAAAACCCCACTCAAATAACTCGATATTTATTTATACCATGGAATAATCCTTTTGCAAGCATCCTCCCCAAAGTCTTATCTGCCAAAAAGGGAAACACACACATGTGTTAACAAATGGAGACTTGGACACAGGTGCTGCAACAGAGAGCTGTCTTTACTGAGCAGAGCACAAGGCCTTGTCTAATGTACAGTGCCCTCTAGGAGAAGCAGTGCTTACAGAAGCATACTAACATTTGTCACTGCAAATCTGTCCAAGGTTACAGACTGCTTTCAAGGAGTCACGTCCAGTACATAGTATGGGGCCACCAAACAGCCCAGTACAAGCCATTTGAAAAGAGAAACTTATTTTACAGATGCATATTTTGCAGATGATCTATCTTTTCCAGGGTTTATTTCCACTACTTGGCAGCAAGAACAGTTTCACAAGTGAAAATGAGCAAACTTTCTACACACCCTACAGATAAACAAAGAACTTTTTAAGAGCTACACATAGAATTGTCCATTTTACAATTCATTGTTACTGCTGTTTTGGTTTTTACTTAATACATTTTAGCACTTTCTCATGCAGTAGTTACAATGACTGTTTCTGAGGGGATAAAAAGCAACTCTTAAGTGGGGAAAGAACCTCTTAAAAATTATAAACATTTTATTTTAGAGATTGAGATTATGTATTCAGGGTAAAATCAGCAAGAAATTTGCGAAAAGTAAAACCAAAACCAAAAAACAGAACAAAACAAAAAGCACTACACAAGTAGCAACAGGGAAGTTCTCACTCAGTAATTATCATTTAGAGAACTGGTGAAACAGAATGGAAGGAAAGGTAGAAAGTTTCACTAGAGTGGAAAAATATTATCCCAATGTATCAACAGCTCTGACTCTTCATTTTCTTCCTTTCTTTCTGCTCCCAAAAAGAAAGAAGTTATGTGGGAAGCTTCATCATTAGAAGTTGGATCTGTAAGATACAGTAAAATAAACTATCATGCATCTTTCCCGTTATTCTTTTTACCTTTCCTCCAAACAAACAAAAAAACCCAAACCCAGAATCATGGTATAAGTGCAGGAGTCCATGAAAATGCAGTTTTACCAGGTAAATTATGAGTTAATGGTTTTTTAATAGAAGAATTCTTTACAAAATAATTTACCAAAGTGTTATTCTGAATAGCATTCTTCCCTCATTAATTGCAGCTTTTCACTTAATTTTTAAAAATTGTCTGTACAAACCTCTATAACATAAACTATACCTCTATGAAGCACATCTTCATGCCTCTATGAAAAGCACTATTTCTATGTGTTGAGATGAAGTTTAATTTACTTTTTAACCATGCTTTTAAAAACAAAAGATATATCTATACATATGTCTATCTACTTAAAGAAAAAATACAACCCAGGTGTTCACAGTAATTAGAGAAAATATCCACATACATAATAATTAATTTTATTGGGAACTCATGGGTTTTGGTTTTGCTATTCTCTTTCTCAAATGGGGAATAGAACAGAGTGTAATTTCCCCCCATTAATATGGTTACCCCATCACCTGTCTATTATATTTTGCCATTTGACAACTAAGAAGAATGCAACATTTAGGTTTTGGGGGGGCTTCTTAGAGACTCATTAGACAGAAGTTGCTTTTGCCCCCAGAATGAATGCCTGTGAGGACAGATCCCACTATACTCAGCTGCACAGGGTGTGGGTGTTGAAGGGAACCTTGGAGGGAGGGAGTGGTCCCTGTCTCCTGCATACTGCTCTCGCTGTGCTTATCCTGGCAAAGCCTAGTGGAGAGTTGAGGCAACCATCCAGATTATTTCGGCTGAAAACCTCCTGTGGAAGAAAAAAGGTCTGAATTATCCTGGTTTAACCTATATATACATTAATCATATGCACTGGAGTCAGTTTGTACCTCAAAATTTTCCCTGGGTAGACACAGCCTAAATGTCCCAAAGAAAACATGAGCCATTTGCTGGGCCCCGAATTTCATGTTCCATTTCACTTGGTGAAAAACCAAGTGGAAGTTTTCAGATGTGAAGCCCACATTTCACTTCTTGGGATGGTGATCAGTAGCTGGGCAGCAACCTCAATGTTTGAAAGCAGCTGGGGAGGTGACTCTAAGATCTGCCTGGCTCTAAGGAAAAGGAGAGACTGTGCCCTAGCTTCCCATATTCTGGCTCTCCCTCTGTTTTTCACTCTATGTTTTACTTTTTCTCCCCCCTCTCTTTGCTCCTCTCTACCTCATTCTCTCTCCCGTTCTTTTTTTTCCATTTTCTGTCCCATCTCCTTCTTGTTCTTTTACCTCCCTCTTTGCTTTCTTTCTCAGTCTTTCTATCTTCCTTTCCCTCTTTTACTCTCCTTTCCTCTGTTGCCTATCTCCCTTTATCCCCTTCCTCACTACCTTCCTTTCTAAGTCTTTCTTTCTTTCTCTTTACCTTTATGAAAAAACAAAAAAACAAAAACAAAGACCTAGTCAGCATGGAAAAATAAAAGTAAATTAGCAAGAGGCCAAGGAGGTAGAGTTAATATTTTTCACTTGCTAATCTTTAGCTGGGGAGTTGTTGCTGGCTTCTACATAGCAAGTGCCCAAAATAATCTCCCCCTTACCTCGGGGTTGCATGTCTGCAACCAATGACTGAATTGGTGCCTGATCCGTTAGGATTATGTCCTGCTTTTTATGGCCTGTGAGCTAAGATTGATTTTTAAACATGTTTTAAAGTGTTGTAAAAAGAAGAAAAATGAGAATATGATGCAACAGAGGCCATATATAACCCACAGAGCCTAAAATATTTACTATCTGGATCTTTACAAAGAAAGTTTGCTGTTCCTGAATTGGAGATCAATCAGGGTGTGTAGGCTTGGAAAAGTTCCAAATAAACTAAGCAAAAACAGGTATCAAGTTAAAGTATTGCTTGTCCATGGCTAGTGTAGTCCCTGACAGGCAATGGTGTTACCCATGGTAGGGATGTGGTTTTGTTAGAGACATTTTATAAACCTTCAGAAACCATTTTAAAAAGCTTATTATCATGAAGAGATAATAAAGAAACATTTTGAAAAAAAAAAAAATTTACTAAATCCACAGCACATATAAATATTCGCTATATCTTGCCCTGAATTATTCAGGCAAATTTAGCTGCATAACAGGAATTCCTTAAAAACCTTTTTTTCCCTACAAAAAAATATAAAGTATCCCTTAAATTAAAGGTCATTATTTCTTCAAAAATTTTAAAGTAATTTACTCGATGACAAAATAAACTAAAGGGTATTGTGTCTGATAGCCTTCTGCTTCTCTAGACAAGGCTGTGAAACCATATCAGATTATCAGACATTAAACAAAGCTAATTACATTTAACCTATTTGTGATCTTCATAATTTGGTAAAGAAAAAATCCCTTTGAACATAGTTTTGTTTTGTTTTGTTTTGTTTTGTTTTTTAATCCTCACTTGGAAGATATTTTTCCATTAATTACTAGAGAAAGTGGAAGGGAGGGAGGAGGGGTAGAGAGAGAGGGAGAAACATCGACTTGAGACGTGAGAGACACATCTATCGGTTGCCTCCCACAGGGCCCCTACCAGGGCTGGGGACTGAACCACAACTGAGGTACATGTCCTTGACCCAGAATCGAACTGGAGATCCTTCAGTCCTTGGGCTGATGTCCTAACCACTGAACTAAACTGGCCAGGGTGCCTTGAACATAGTTTTGCTAGGGCTTCTTAAGTTGGTGTAAATTCATTTTTCACAGCATAAATGCACCTGCAAAGAATCTTTTTCTTTTTTCTATATGGCTCCTTTTGACAGAAAGTTAGAAGAATATTCTAGAAGAAAATGCACTGTCACTAGGCCCTCCTTGGGATGTGTATCTATTAAAGAAATGAAGAAAGGACATGGCAGTAGCACCAGTATTGGTAAGAAATGAGGAAAGTGACTACCTAAAACCATATTAAAAGCAAATTTAATTTTAAAATCACTTTCAGAGCTAGTTGCATAAGATTCCA